GATGCTTCTGTAACAGTTTAAAATGCAAAAGACACGAGCAGCGTGCAGCTTCTTTTCCTTTTTGTTGGTTCTCACTGAGACAAAAAGGTTATTTTTGCGCCGTCATTTAACACATCTGGAGCTCAAACTGCTCAGTCAATCAGTTAGTCCATTAACAGAAAGTTAATCTGAAACTATCATGATACGGATTAATCATTAGAAAAGGTTTTGAAGGAAAGAAGTCATGTAAAATGTCTGCAATCAAGTCTTCTATGGCAGTAAACTGAATATGTTTTTGCTGGACATCTTAAGACCTTGGGAATCATTTATTTTACTCCATATGGACCCAACAACTTTTCACTACGTTAAAAAAATATCAGGAATAAAAATATCATCAGCTGCAGCTTGTTAGATATAAAATATTTTCCAATATATTAAATAAAATGTACAAATGGAGAACTTTAAACTGGATTTTTAGTGTTTCTCTCATATTATAACCATAAGGTTAAATACAAATAGATACCAATAGCATAAATAAATATCTGATCAAGTATATATTTCCCTCCTTTGCGCTGCATATTAACAGTTTTTAACCATCTTATCACATTTTACCCAACACCCACATTCTATTTAAGCCAGAAATGTCAAATTAAATCATAATTTTACTTTAAAAATGCCTTATTGTTAAAGCAGCACACAGTATTCAGAGGTGTTCTAGTTCAGAAAACTCAAATGGTAACAAATACAAGGTTAAAAATCATATATTTCTAATGATAAATGATCTTATCAGTGCCAAAAGGCCTAAAGCGTAAAAGTAGGGACACTGCTGACAATAAATATTTAATGTGCGCTAATGCAGATTGGCTTAAATCCTGGTACAACAATACTTTCAGTTTTTGTGGGAATGAAGCGTTGACTCTGTCCAAACAGCTTCTCTAAAACCGCTGCTTCCCTTCTTCTGCTGGACAGAACAGATAAAAACAAGGAGTTACCAGAGTCACGGACAGTAATCAAAGAGCGATGGTGGAGCCGTGACCCCCAGTGATCCGCACGGACGTGAAATGTGCTACAACAGCTGGACTCGCTCTTGCTGACGGGCAGCTGGAAAGCCTGCAGCTCTTCAGCGTCTCTTTATGCACAAACAGCATTAAAAGTGAGACGAACAACACGAACACGGCGTCGAAGCTCAAAGCAGCGGGTTCAGACGGTTACTCGAGGTTGCTGTGGTCAACAAATGGAAACAGAACATTTCCTAAACAGCACAGCAACGTGTTTAAGGAGCAGTTTGACACAAAAGTGACACAACTCTCTCATTTGTGCAGGAAAGTGGACAAGAGATGATTTGTTCTGACCAACATTTAGTCATTTCTGCACCACAGTCCAGAACCGCTCCATAAAAAAACGTCTTTTTTCTCCCTTTGTTTTTGCACAGCTTGAGATGCGACACGTAAACGGAGCTTTAGAGGCGATGTTGGGCAGATTTCATGTTTCCTTTTTTCCCTGAGCATCACTGTACACATGTGAGAGTGGTACCATTTACTTTTTTGGCAAGAAATAGAATAAACATCTTTCCGAAATGTCAAACTATTCCTTTTAAGCATTACTCTTTCTTAAGAAACCTTGCGGCTGCCAGTTTTTTTTGCGAAGCTAAAATAAACGCAGCTGACAGGTCGCTGGCTGTAGATCCGTATTAAGAGCTCAGACGTGATCGGGGTTATCGATCTTCTCATCTCACTCTTTGGCAAACGGCAAAATAAGTGCATTTCCCAAAAATGTCAACCTATTCCTGGGAAGATATGCAAAAGTCTGATTTGTTGTTGGAAGTGTCATGAATATACATTACATATAAATATATACACATTTAGGACAGAGTCTAGATTTCTAAAAGAACACGTGCAGAAAGGGAAACAAAAAGAGATTTGCATATATGGAACCTGAGTCACGGCTTAAAGTACAAACGCTCTGCACAGTGTGACCTATTTACGTTGCAGTGAGGTCTGGATGTGCAGTCGTGTGTGCACATGCAGCTGTTGTGTAAACCTGCATGTGTTCTTATATACGTCCATCTACTGTGTGACAAATAATGGCAGGATGGAAGTTTGACTACAGGGAGGAAGAGGGAGGAATAAAACACGAAGCAGATCAGTTACAATCTGGACATTCAGCACATTCCTGCCATATCACACACACACACACACACACAACGACACACACACACCTAAAACGTTTGTAGCTGAGGAGGATTAAACCCGATGATAGTTTAGTGTAACACTCACATTGGTGCCGTGTGGGAGAAAGCAGTCGAAAAACCAGCGAGGGAGAAGAAAAAAGACGTCAGTGTTTGTTCAGTGATAAAGGATCCGATGTGAGAATAAAACATGTAGTTAGAGTCTGAAAACATATACAACATCTTAACATGTTCATTTTTACTATGACTTGGAGGCTGTGCTTTTCTTTTTGTTTGAACCGATTAGTCAAATAATCATTGAATCTAGTGAAGAAATCTGGAGCTATTTCAGTTATCGTTGACAGTTTAAGCCTCTCAGATGAGACGATTTGTTGCTTTGCTATGTGTAAAATACGCAGTCAACTCAATATTTGGGGTTTGAGACAGTTGCCTGGATGAAAAAAAGCAATTTGACAACTTTAATGTAGATTCTTGGAATCTAAAATTCTTCCTTTTGCTTTGTCTACTGCTGCAACCAACCCCTTTTTAAAAAATCTTTATTATTACTAAGCATTATATAAAGTCTAACTTTGTTAAACCAACAGTCTAAAATCAAAACTGACTACAAGGGGGGGAAATAAAAGGCAGATTATAACATTTGAGAAGCTGGAATCATCCGTTTTCTGGACACAAACAGTAAATCAAACTGATCTTCTAAACAGCTGTTGGTTGATTTTCTTCCATTCAGCTCATCGGTTAAATAACTTGTTGTTGTTTTAGCTGTAATTTGGTCGTCATGTTGTCATTAAAGCTTTCAATTACTACTCAATTAGGTGTCGACTATTTTGACTACCAACTATTTTGATAATGTGTGAATTGGAGTCATTTTTTAAGGGACAAAAAGAGACTAAATCCTGTGATTCAAGCTTCTTAAATGTGAATACTATCTGATTTCTTTCCTCCGCTTTGACAGTCAACTGAACATCTTTGGGTTGTGGACAAAACAAGACATTTGAGGACGTCATCTTGAGCTTTTAAAACCAGCGATTGACATTTTTTTCACTGTTTTCTGACGTTTTATCGACCAAACAACTCATCAATTAATTGAGAAACCTATCAACAGATTAATCGACAATAAAAATAAGCATCTAATTTGCTTTACAAATCAGATTTAAAAGCGTCTCCGTCAGCACACGTCTGGCAATTTTATCCATAAACAGCTGAAGTTAGAGGAAACATGCAGGTTTCCTGATACATGTTGCAATAAAGATATTAGACTACAGTCACCGTGACGCAGATTTTTATCAGTGCCACCTACTTCTAAAGAATCTGAAACACTTTCACTTCCAGAAAAAAGCCACCTGACCGACTTTAACCTACCGAGAGTTTGCACAGGCCTCACTTTCACACCAGTTTGGGAGATGATTAGTCAGACAAAATGATTTACTAACTGAGAACATTTTTTAGTTGAGTAGTCATTACAATGATCGCTTGAAAAACGATGCCTCATGTTTGATTTCACAACAGAGTGCTTCGATGTTCAATCAGCTCTGCTCTGTCTACATGTTTGCATTCATCCGTGGAGGTAATGATGACTCTCCTGGCCAGCGGGGTGAAAGTATGAGTCATTTTTTTGCATTAAATCAGCTAAAAAAATAAGACATTCTTCAGGTTTTCCTCATTTTTTCTTGCATAAGGACACTGACAGTGGACTTCTTTCAGGTGGACACAGTGGTCATTATCATTCCTTCCTGTCAGTCACCAGCTGGGTTCACAACTGGATGCAAAAAAAACCTGCAACCTTCAGTGTCTTTTGCAGCTTTCCACTGCTTTTAACCCCAATATTTCACCACCTACAAGCATCTGCAAGAAGATTAGCTCCAGTGAGAACTCAGCATCGTGTCAACGTCTCGCCTTTCATCGTCTCGGCTACAAGCTCATTTCATCACAAGATGTGACACAAACAGATGGAAGATGCCACTTTAGACTGCAGAGCAAGTCGCAACAAGCCGGTTTTTGTAGCCCACCCTCAACACACACACACACACACACACACCTGGTCTAACATTTCCAAAACAGGATTTAAACTGTCACAGAGAGAGAGATTCATTGACACTGCTCTTTGCTCTTCCTCCTAACCCCTGGGTTTAAAAAAAGAAAAAGAGGCCACTGGGTGCAGAACAAAAAAAAAAACAGGACAAAAAAGCATGAATGCATTCACATTCAGTGGACATTTTGTCATTAAGATGCACACACATGGAGGCAAACTGCACTTTGTGGCCACTTACAGGCATCAATCAGCGCAGAGATAAGACTGCATGTGTCCTATCTGAACCCAAATTGTTCCAGTGAAGAAATCAGTGACACCCAGAGAACAGGCAAAAGTCCCAGAAGCATTCTTACTCAGTGTTGTGAAAGATTGTGTTCGGCTTGTTTGAACAAGATAGACACCAGTGATGACATGCAACGTTTATTACTGCTGCACATTTTTAACATCACTGCCAAATCTGCTTTTTCTGCAAGAGAACGAGTCAACTTTAAGATCTGGGGACATGATTTTTTAATTATTATTTTTTTTTAAATAAAACCCATAAAACTAGTTGGTGACTTTTTCCAATCTTGCACAGGGACATGAAGCAACATGTGGATTATCTGGAATAGATCTATAAATCTAGTTCTGTTAGGTAATCCTGTGCGTCACTGCGCAAACTTCTCATAAAAGCAGTTTTTTTTTATATCATTACATCGATTCCTTCACAAAAAATGATCAGTTAAGCTCAACATTAAATGAGCTACAGAGTGAAACTAATCACATTTTCAGCCATATTGCCAGTGAACAAGGGGAGGAACTCACCAACAAAGACACAAAGAATATCCACCGCGATCAGAATCAGCTTCTTCCCTTGTTCTGTCATGTTTCCTCCGAGTCTCTTTCATAAATAAAACGCGTTTTTTGGGGGGAAACGGGGGAGAAAAAAGTGGAGTTTGGGAATCTAAGAAACACCAGGTGGACAAAGTACTATCAGGATCAGATCGACCTGCTCCTTCTTCCGGCTCCGCGTACCTGGCCGCCTGTCAGTCTGTCTGTCTGTGTGCGCGCGCTGCGCTCTTTCAGGTGAGCAGCAGAGGACGCGCGCTCTTTCACTCCGTCCTGCCCCGTTTTACGCACGGAGGGGGGCGCGCCTGTCCGCACAATGAGGGAAGGAGGGTGCAGGAGGATTTGGCTGCCCCCAAAATTCTTTATTTAGACTTGCGGGAAAACTCCCCCTCCTAACTTTATCTCTACTTTCTCTTTCTGTGCTTCCAATCTAGGAATCAAATCAAAACTGTGGATTCCGATCCAACAACGTGGTTACATTTTTTTAAAATTTTTTTTGGTTGTTAAAGTCACGGCGCATAAACAGCAGACCTGACAGCTGGGTTTTAATCATAAAGGTTTTAATCTGTGACAGCAAAGCCACCTAACCTGTTTAAACCACTTGATTCCTACAATTCCCAATGTGGCCACTAACCAGACACAGTTTTCCAGATGATTTATAATGCTGAGGAGTATATTTACTCAAATACCCTCCTGCTAAAGTAGAATTTGGAAATATTCATACTTGAAGCATTTAACTTACACTTCAGACACAAACAATCTACTTTTCACTCCTGTTTTTGTTGTACATCTATTGTTCCTCTGAGGATTGAGATATGACTTGCATATCACATGAGGAGCTGCTAAAACAGGAAGCATGACTGTCA